CAATAATTTGTTAGAAACCAAATAATATATATCATTTAAATTTCCCCATTTAAGCTGTTATTAAAGAGTTTACTCTAGTAAATATCTAATGCTTTCATAATATTGACGTTAGTGTCCCTATACTGCTCTATATCTATATTTTTGATGGTATCGTTTGGGTTTTCTTCTGCATGTTATATAAACACCAACGAATACAATATATCACTGAATCCTACGAGTGCCGGGGTATATATATTGTATAAAAAAGAGAAGAGAAGCCCCTCCACACAAACACAAACGCAAATGCAAATACAAATAGAGCAACAAATGGGTAGGGCTTAAGGACGCTGGGTGGGTTGGGGGAGGAGAAAATGTCGTCGTCACGTGGCCGCTGCATAAGCTGAAATGAGTTACATCAAATGCTTTTGGCTTTCACAGGAAATGGCAGTGCAATGCATTTTTATTTACATCTAAGGACAACACACCGAGTGGAGTGGGGGTCGAGCAAGCCATTAAGGAATTGCTCGGCAATTGAAATGGCCAAGTCAAATAAAAGGCAGCCAGACATTTTGCAGTGGAGCGGGCGGGCGGGGGTGTGTTGGGTATTTGATTAAAATTAAAAATACGTGGACCAAGGCAAGGCTTTGATGTCGACCACAGTGCCATGTCAGCGGGATATCCTTTCGCTCTGCCCTGCTTCCCTACCAATCTGTGTAGTTTCTCTCACCTGACATTGATTTATGTGAGGCAACTTAATGAAAAGACCATTGCAGGCTGTATCAGCTGGGTCAGGTAGAGGTAGCCAGTAGTTCGATTAAGCTAAGCGAAAATAAATTACAAGGTATTAGGACCGAAACGATTGCCAAAAGTGTACTCGCGTTGCTGCGTTACGCATAGGCCCCGTTGCCTCGCGGAAAGGAGAGAGCGGGGCTCTCAAGGGCCTCGTGCTTCAAGGCAGACGGCAATCAATCATCAATTACGATTAAATCCATCAGGAATTATGCGTCAAATTGATTGAAAGTCAGTTGGCACATTCTAGCCAGCCAGGGTCGGACACTGAATTATGGCATTAAATCAATTTTCCTTTAGTTAAATCAACGGCGCAACTATTCCACCGGACCATCTTGGCCCGTTAGCCCGGCTTTGGCTTTGGCTTTGGCTTTAGCTCCGGCTCTGGCTCTGGTTCTGGCTTCAGGCAAGGGCATTGGCATTAGCATTAGCTGTACCCGTCAGTCAAAGTCAACCCAACTGGTTGAGCTGAGCTGAGCTCCGGCAGTGCCAGTGGCTGCCGCCGGAGTTGAGCCGAATCCGACGCTGTTGCTCCATGAAACTTAAATCGCCCAGACTCCGGTTCGAGTGACGGCACAAAACTTTTCCCGGGCCAATAAAGTACGGCCAAGTGATGGGCTGGCTGCAGACCCAGTGAGCTGAGAGTCCGTTCGTTTGTCCGGGAAAGGCAAAGCAATCCTCGACACTGTGACGCATCGACCTGAAGTCCCAGAGTCTCCGCTGTCGTCTCCTTCTCCGTTTGCGCCTCCAAGCTGGGAGAATCCCTAAGAAATGAAAATATTTTCTTGCAATTGGAGAGAAATGCGATGGCTGCGATGGCAATGGCGATGGTGGAGCATAAAAAAGCAGACCCAATGAAAACTGCAAATCGCAGTGTCTGGAGTCTCGGCGAGCGGAGCGCGTCAATTGACTGCAATAATTCTGGAAAATGTGCAAAGTGTAAGGCCGGACTGTCGGACTGCCAAGTAATTTATTTATCAAGTTTCAAGCTGCAGCTTGAAAACTTAATACGCCGCCAAATTGAAAGCAGTCGGGCGGCATCTTAAATTGCACATCCTTCTGCTGGCCTTACCATAATCAAGGAGAGAGTCCCACAGAGTGGCTAAGGCCTTGCACTAAAGTCCGATAGTTGACTTTGCGGAGGCGAATGGCACTAACCAATTTGCACTATACCGCAAAATTCAATTTACGCATCCTGCAAATGCTGCAAAGTCCTGGCCAGTAAGTAGCAATTCATGCGTGAACCTGACAAGGACATCGCACCCACATACAGGGACACACACACACATTCACCAATATAGGCAAATAGAGGGTGCAAATATATATACAAAAAAAAAAACCGAGAAAAAAACACATCCAAACGAGAATCCTTTGTGCAAAGTATCGAAATGACATTTATGCTGAAAGACATATGACGCTGAGGACTTGACAACTTTTCTTTTGTCCGCACACACTCCAACCATTGCCCTCCGCAAATATTTGCAAAATGCAATAACTGGCACGATTCGAGTGCACAATTCTGGTTGAAAAAGGAAAGTGTGTCTGCTGTGTCTTTTCCCGCCATATCCCGAAAGCCCCCTTAAACTAGAACCCAATTCCGTGAGCCCTTGCCCTCGTTCTTGGCCCACTTGTCATGCATTGCCAAGTTTGCCTGGATGGCCAACAAACGCCGTCTAATCGAAGGCACAATATTCAATATAAATAATTGATGCGCACTTTTTCCAATGGGTCGTACAGTGGGTGAAACTCTGACGACAGCGGCGATAAAAACAATGCCAATGCCAGCTGCTGCAAAACAATTTTGCATACTCTCTACTTGTGCGTTTAAGCTACAGACTAGAATGAAATAATAGCAATAAGAACACATATTTACTCATAAATAAATATAAATATTCTTTATTGTTCATTTGTTTCCTGTTCCCAACATACCAGTAAATGAAGCAGACATCACTATAACATTTTAAAATGCATTATAATATGTCTAAAGTTTGATACTATTGCTTTGCCTGCAGCTGTAACTACGTATGAATACAAGGTCCTTGTGCGCATTCTATTGCCCACTGATTGATGTCCTTTTGGCTGTTGTTGCCATTGTTCTTGTTGTTTTCGCAAATTGGTTTCCATTGGGGCAGGATGCATGCATATGTACATAAGCCGGGTCGAGGATAGGCAGCGTGGGTGGTGGTTTCAAGGTTGCTGCCGCATTAAGTGTCCATACACTCATACACACAGAAACGGCCGAAGTACAAACAAAAAATAAACCTTTGCATACTTATAAGGGCAAAGTGTATAAGGCTCAATTAAAATTTTACGCCCGTTTGCATTTTAAGTGCATGTGTATGTTGGGTAGTTGAAGAAGCCTGAAGTGTGTGTGTGTGTGTGTGTGGATGGGTGTTAGCCATAGGCCCGACTGCTTGGTAGTTTCCTAGCCTACAGCAGCTGCCAACTTGCTGTTGTTGTGCAACTTTTCCCACTGCAACACACAAAACCCCTCACCCCTCACAGATGTATGAGAGTTTGGGGCTGCAGTGCACAAAAGCGTATTTAATGAAACGGAACTTGAGGCATAATTGAGTAAGGGCTGCCCTGGTAGATTTGACAAAGCAGAATTGCTTTGGCCAGATGGGCTTACGCTCGGCTGTGAAAGGGTTGTGTTTGAAATTGAGCCAACTATTAAGAAAGGGATATCCCAAATTGCTATATGTTGACAATAGATCTTCAAACATTCGGTTAAGGAAGCTCTTTTAATAATACAAAACAAAATAACAGATTTAAATCACTATTTTAATTAATCAATCTTGTGATAAGGTTCTGTGCGCTATTTTAAATCGGACTAACTGCTAAATCTGCGGTCAAAATATTCGCATTCAAGTGGGTTTTAGTCAAAAGCGATTAGCTCGTTAAATCAGATTTTAAATAAACTAAAATGAGAGAAAATGCTGCATCATAGAATCCTAAGGGAAGCAATATTATAAGAAGTAGTTCAGCTACAGCTACAGAGGGAAAAGTCGGTGGAAAGTCAGAGACCCTGTTATTTAAATGCACGCATAAATATCTGAGGGGCATGGGTCTGACCACAGTTGACTTGGCAGCCGCAGAAAATGGCATAAAAGTCAACATGTTGAACAGCGGCTGGAAAAAATATAGCCCCCGATATTATGCTACAGTGATGCGTGCGAATGTGTGCCAGGACTTTTCATATCTGGCCAGGGCTATAAAGTATAAATTACGGCAAAGGCGAAGCGTTGCGAAGAGCAACAGTCTGCACGCACAACTAACTAACAACTATTAAGCCTCTGTCTCTGTTTCAGTCTCTGGATCTGGGATCTGGGATCTGGGTCCTGGGATATGGATATGGATATGGCTCTGCTCCTGGCTCTGACTTCATCTCCGGGTGAAATACGAGCAAAGAGAGCGCCAGTAATCAACATGCGTGGCGCTGTGTGCGTTTTACACATGCGCCATGCCATTTTTCCGGTGATTAAGTGTTGATAAGTCTATAAATTAACTCGAACACACGCGTCTGCCGAGTACGCAAGTCAGACAATGCCCAGGCATAGACACATACATGTATTAATCATGCGGCAAAGACATTTACATCTAAATGGTCGGTGGTCGTTGGTTGGGAAATCTGTTGCCCACTTTATGGCACTGTCTTGAAAAGGGAGGGAAAGATGTGTGGAAAGCAAAGTAAATAAGAAATGCAGGTGATTACAGTATCGAGACTTTAGCAAATTATAGGCTCTGCGAAAGAACGCAATGGATAACGTATATTTATATGATAATTGATTGCTGCTCACTGTTTGTTAAAATTGAAGAAATTAAGTTTGCATTTTCAAACGAATCCTTTTCAGAGAGTGTAGGATTTCCAGCAGAATGCTGCTTTGGCAGAATTAAATTTTATACTATTTGCGAAATGATTTTATTAAATCCCTGCTTATCCTTTAAAGAATCCTTGAGAAATTCCTTAGCAATCCTCGATGTAACAGTATCATCTACAATTCAACAAATAATATCCCCTGCTGTGGGTATTATTTACCTAACCCATAGTTAAAAAATAATTGATTATTGTGCCGCTGCTTGGCTCTGTTTCACAGTCAATTAAATTCAATTTACATTTGTAAACAAAACAAAAAACGACTATTTCAACCCATTGCCATTACCTGACTGGTATAAATACCGTGGTCAGTGGATACTCCTCTTCAGTTTCAAAAAGAGATTTAAGTGCAATAATGATATTTAACTATTTGCGAAAGCCGACTCCCTCGAATCTATTGGGATCACCGGATGCATTTCGGTACTATGAGTCCGCAATGTTCTCCATGGGCTGGTGGACCCCCCAGAAGTATAAGATATTGTACTATATTGCCGCTGCTTGCATAATGACTTGGAGTGTTGTATATTTGCCGATTGGAATCAGCATTAGCTTCCTGAAGGATATAAGGAACTTCAGTCCCAGTGAATTGCTGACAGTGCTTCAACTGTTCTTCAATTCCGTGGGATTGCCTTTCAAGGTGCTGTTCTTCAATCTTAGCTCTTGGCGATTTCACAAGGCCAAGGAGCTGTTGGGAAAGTTGGATAAGCGATGCACTCGCCTGGAGGAACGCATAGAAGTGCATCGCTGGGTCGTCCATTGCAACAAGGCCTATTTAATCTATCAGCTGATGTATATTTGCTACACTATATCCACCTTCCTGTCGGCCGTAGCTACAGGACAGCCGCCATGGCGCATCTATAATCCTTTCGTGGATTGGCGACAGAGTAGACAGAACTTCTGGATCGCAACCATCCATGAGACCATGCTCATGTTGTGCACGGCGACCCAAACCCTTTTGAGTGACATTTACCCTCTTTTATATGGTTTGATGCTGAGAGTTCACATCAAACTGCTGCGGCAGCGAGTGGAGAGACTTTGCACAAATCCAAGCAAGAGTGAGGAAAAAAACCAAGTTGATTTGATCAATTGCATCAAGGATCACAAGCTCATCAAAGAGTAAGCTATTAGATCGGTTTCACAATCATGTACTTATCTTTTATTCTTTAAAGATATACACAAATGATTCGACCTGTGATCTCTCGCACTATCTTCATCCAATTCCTACTGATTGGCATTTGCTTGGGCCTGTCTATGATCAACCTGCTCTTACTTGCCGCGTTTTGGACGGGTGTTGCCACAGTGGCCTATATCAATGGCCTGATGTTGCAAACCTTTCCATTCTGTTTCGTATGTGACTTGATTAAGGCCGATTGTGATCATCTTGAGATGGCCATATTCCACTCCAACTGGCTAAACACTAGTCGCAGATATAAAACATCGCTGATTTATTTTCTACAAAACACTCAGATTCCCATTGCTTTCATCGCTGGTTATATTTTCCCAATCTCTACGAGCACAAACATAAGCGTAGGTTTCAAAGAAAACAAATTATAGGAATTTGTATTGATTATTCTCTTTTTAGGTTGCAAAACTGGCTTTTACGGTGGTCACATTTGTTAATCAACTGAATATAGCCGAAAGACTAAAGAAGGATTAGGGGAAGCAAGGAACAAATATAATGCAAATGAAGCAAACTTACTACTTACTATACTTATACTAAACTTATACTTACTTAATCTCTGTTTACTCTATTTAAATTATTTGATTTAAATTAAAAAATTATGACTATACCAGTAAATGAAGCAGACATCACTATAACATATTAAAATGCATTATAATATGTCTAAGGATTGATAAATAAACCCCTCACCCCTCACAGATGTGTGAGAGTGTGGGGCTGCAGTGCACAAAAGCGTATTTAATGAAACGGAACTTGAGGCATAATTGAGTAAGGGCTGCCCTGGTAGATTTGACAAAGCAGAATTGCTTTGGCCAGATGGGCTTACGCTCGGCTGTGAAAGGATTGTGTTTGAAATTGAGCCAACTATTAACAAAGGGATATCCCAAATTGCTATATGTTAAAAATATATCTTCAAACATTCGGTTAAGGAAGCTCTTTTAATAATACACAACAAAATAACAGATTTAACTCACTATTTTAATTAATCGAACGGACTAACTGCCAAATCTGCGGTCAAAATAATCGCATTCAAGTGGGTTTTAGTCAAATGCGATTAGCTCGTTAAATCAGATTTTAAATAAACTTAAATGGGGACATTTTGTAATTAGCTTAGGGATTATTTATTTTGGATAATCAAAGCATACTCCTATGATTTTAAAAGCTAATAATATTTTCCTGTAACATAGTTCATAAAAATGCATTTAGCTCTTTTTAAACTCAACAATATTTTTCATGGAATGAGTTTTAATCTCCAATAATATTTACTTTAACGCGGATAGCTGGATACTTTGACAGCTTCAAAAACTATTACGACAACAATTGCAACTCAGGGCCTCACCGCCCACCGCCCACCGCTTTGTCTAACCCGCATGTGAAATTCATTTTTTATTATCACTGCCTTTATTGTTTTCCCGCCGTCGCTGCTCAAATAGAAATAAAAACAAAATCAACTTGCAAAATATGTTGAATATTTTACAAGGCTCGCAACAATGGCTATAACTAAAAGGCGGCAAATGAAATATGCAACAAAAGCGAGAGCGTGCAGCATGAGAAAATAAATTGAAAAAAGTGCAAAAAACCAACCAGAGCCGGGAAAATGGGAAAAGCAGGAGGGGGGACGGTGGAAATGAGCGAGAACTTGGTTAACAAATTGCTGCGAATATTAGAGGCGAAGTCTAATGCAGCGGCAACAGACAATGGACCCATGTTTTTGACAACGAATTAAACAAAATCCGACTGCCAGCGAGTGTGTGGATGCAGGATCTGGACAACTGGATAGTTGGATACATGGATAGCTGGATGGGATTGGCAAAACCAAATAAGCTGAGAGACAGCGCAGGCAACAAACTAAAAGGACGAAAGGACTCGCAGCTGGATCGATTTTGCTCGCAAGCTGATGATGTGCAGCCAGCAACATGTGTGTTTTTTTTTTATTCCTATTTTATATATTTTTATTTTTAGTTTTTCCTATTTTTTTTTCGTTGGGTTTAGCAAAGCATTTTGCCTTGGGATGAGGTTTGGCTGGCTAGAAGCTTTCATATTTCCGCCTTAGTCTGCTGCCAGGACAGTTTTTAAAAATTCAATTTTCCTTAACATCTAAGCGGTTAGAATGTGTGTTTATGTGTGTGCACTGGGGGAAAAATCTTTGCTTAGAAACGTTTACGAAATTGATATCAAAACTTTAGGTTTAATATAGAAAACTTGGTGGATATTTGCTATGAATTGTGTTAAATGGATACAAGATTTGTTATAATTAAAGTACCTTTTAAAGAATTACCAGAGTCTAAAATTAACATTCAGAAATATTGAACGAATATTTATACCCTTTTTTCTAGGGTATTCTAATATAAGTCAGCAGCTTGTAACGATGTGAAGGAGTCATTTCCGACCCTATAAATCATATATATTCTTGATCAGAATCAAAAGCCGAGTCGATCTAGCGGTGTCCGGCAAAAATTTTATTTTATCAAAATTTCGCAAACTTTATAAAAGGTTACACAGTTAAAATTGTCAAAAAAAATTTGCCAAAAAAATTAAATTTTTAAAATTATAAATAGAGTATTAAGATTTATTAACTTAATAAAAACTAAGATAGGAATGATTTCCGAATTGAAATTAAGGCTTTTTTGGCCAAGTTATGGAATTTTTTAAGCTTTGATTTGTCGCAAAAATTGTCATATAAAAATATTGATTTAACTATTGATCGATATCCAATTCGATCCTATAATTTTAATGCAAGCTGCAAGGGTATATAAACTTTAGCTTCCCGAAGTTAGTTCCCCTCTTTTGTAATTTTTAGCCAAATCCCTAAAGTTTTCTCTGCGTGCAGCTGGCGCACAGGTTCCGCCATATAAAACTTGCAGCCAGGATAGACTATAGAAAATTGCCTTTTGCGTTTGATTCCCTCCGCAAATTGCAAAGGCCAAAAATGAAAACAAAAATATCAATAGACCAAACTAAGAATAAACTATAAAAATAAGCCAAAAAAATGCAACACAAAAACTGAGAGATATTGAAAAAACATGGCCTAGCTTTTGCCACGACGAAGCCGTTTTCAAAGTAAAATGGAAATGGAAAATTGCACAAAATGCAATTTATGCTCATGAAGTTGAGAATTGAGAGAGAAACACATACATTTTGCTGCGAATTCAGTGATGTGATATATGGGTGAAGGCGCAATTTCATTTATTTGCCAGACACGCCCCCCGAATGATGCATGACCCCAAATGGAGTGCCGGGGATTGCTCAGATGTGCGTTGATGTCTAATCCTTAATATTAAATCCATACAATCAATTTGCAGACCTGAAACGCAGAGGGTGACATGGCAATATACAGAGTGTGAGCTGTATACAAGGGGACCAGGATATCTGGAATTCAATTTTCTGCATAGATACGCTGCTGCTGTTCCTGCTGCTGCTGCGAGCGATATGAAAAATGCAGAGGGAATAATGAAAGTCACCTTTGGCACAATAATTCATCATTGTGTGTGCGGAGGGTGGGACCAGGAGCAGGAGCAGGACGAGGAGCAGGAGCAGGACCATAAGCAGGAGCTGGGACTAGGGGGGCCGCTTCGTCATATCGTCATATCAAATGAAATGCATAGTCATGCGATGTCAGCGCCCAGACAAAGCAGCTAACGGGGGAAAACTACTACTACTACTACTATATGTACCTAACAACGTGGAAAAACAAATAATGCAATTTTTTGCCAGTGCCACCGCTGTGACATCAACACATACACATCAGCTGCGAGTGCAATCTACGCACGCAGACGGTTGATGTATGACCCACGACCCCTGGCCGCACCGAATGGGGCGGGGTCAACAGCCAGGGAATTGCCGGATAGATGAGCACACAAAACGCTGGCCATATGTCAGGGCATCAAATAAATATCATAAATTGCCCTGCCAAAAAGGAGGTGCAAACGAGCTGCAAGTGAATAAGGATATTTCCCTCTGCGAGAAGGACTAGAAACAATCAACATTCCCAATGGCCAATGGGCTGGGTTGAATATGTCTTTTAAGAGATCCGAACCGGCCCATGTTGGGCTTTTTCATATTTTATCAGCACAAAGAAGGCTTAGATATTTGCAGAATTTATTGATTACAATGTAAGTTTGGAGTCTACATGCAAAGAATGGGCTACACAATTTTACTCTTAAACTTATGGCAAGACAAATTATTTATGTTGCTTCCCATTCAGCTCTTACTTTTTCTTGTACAAATAAAATGCTTCAATTTTTCGTTTCAATTGCTTGGAATTCCTTTGGGATATTCAAGCCAGCGTCAGGATATTAAAGGAAAAAGACTGCGAGGACGATAAAAAGACGGATTTACGCCTTTGATTCAAGTGACAGAGCGACAAAAGGAAGCAGGGCTCGTCTGTGAACAGATAATGTCAATATTAGTCGCCTGCATAATGTACAATAAATGGCAAAATAATACAAAGGCAGCGAGATGGCAGGACCGGTCGCGGCAAAGGATGAAAAATCAATAGCCTCAAGGCAACAAAGGGACAATGAAAAGGACCAACACACACACACACACAGGAACAGGGACAAAGTCACCGGAGTGCGTGTAAAGTGGGGCGAAACACTTTTGTATCCCAAGCCGGATGGCAAATAAAAAAGGAATTTGTCAGTTATGGTTTATGTGCATTTGCCACAACGTTCAATTAATCATTCGCCGTATGGATGAACTTGAAGTTTTCCATTCCTTTCACTTTTCCGCTTCCTTTCCGTATCCTGTATAGGATTTGCATTGGGCGGCCGACATTTTTATGAAAATTACAAAACAGTTTTTTTGAAAAATGAATCAAAACATGCGCACGTCATAAATTCCGTAAAAAGCATAATAAATAAAATGAAATAATAACATTTTTATTACACTGCTGCAGCCGTGGAGCAGTGGAGCGTTGCCAAGAGCTGTCGAAGGCGAAGGCGAACCAGAAAGCCACCCAAAAACAGGCAACAGCTTCTAATACTTTCGAATGGCAAAAGTTTTTGCAGCTCACCGTTTGTTGCTTTTAATGATGCCATCATAAATTATTACATTGCTATTCCGTTTTATTGTTTCACCCGCGATTGAGCAGCTGGAACTGTTACCTAGTCAAAGCTGAAGGGAGCTTCTCAGCCCCCAAGATGCCGAGATGGTGAGCGAACAAGGCTAAACGCAATTATTATTACTTTTAAAGCATTTTTATGCCCTTTTATTTCCCGGCCACACGATTTTGCTATTAACAGCGCACAGCCCGGCACGGCGTCGAGGAGGAGTATATAACAATCTTGGCAGCGAAAAAATTTCACTTCAGGAGTTTATTATGATTTTTATGGATATAATATAGGCCGGCCCGAAAAACTGGGAAACTGGGAAACTGGCAACCTGGCGACAGTGCGCACGTGCAAGTCTTATGCCGTGAGGGGGAAAGGGAGTTGTCCTCGTAGTCCTGGAGTCGCCACCTGTGCGATTCCTGGCTC